ATGACTGAATAAGTGCAACGACATAAATAAACAATACAAGATTTGTTGACCCAGTTCGGTATAAATACCTACATTTTGGGGATTTCAATCCAAGAGTATTTTTACTAAACCTATCACTATGTTCACACACTCAAGACACCCATCAAACACCCCAACTTATCATCTAAATAAACTCCATTTGTTTGACAAACACAGGTGGACTGATTGTTACTCAATTGAAACAACACCAGTGGATGAATTGTCTAGCTCAAAGTAAGATAGCTTACAAGTTGATCATCATCTTCAGATGTAACTCATTCTCCTCCTTGATAGATAGCTTCACAAGGCCATGGAAGTACTCCCATTTTCTTCAAATTTTGGAATATCAGATGGTGGAAAATTGAAAGAGAAACTCAATTTGATTCTCACCCTAACATAAAATATAAAAACAGATTCGATAGACTCAAATCTAAATAATCGAATATATGAAAAAGACCAAATCTAAATATAAAATTGAATATCTAAAATATCTCACTATCCATCCTTAAATTAAAGTGGTGTAACATAAACCAACTTGAGTTTGCAAAAAGACATTGAAGATGACGTAGCCATAATTGTTCATTATGGCAGAAACAGAAGTAGAGTCCTCAACTAAATTAGAATTGAAAACACAAAACTCTTATCAGAGCCGGAAAACATAAACTGGAAAATGCCGGAACTCTCACTAGAGCCGGAAAATACAGAACTTAAGAACACAAAACTGGAAAACACATAACTCTCACCAGAGCCGAAAAATACGGAACTGGAAAATGACAAGACTCTTACCAGAGTCAAAAACTCTCTCCGAATATGAAACTCTCTCTGAAGTCTAGAAAACTCAGAATTCTCACCGGAGCCGGGAAGACGATGGTACTCTCAATACAATCAGAAAAATTGCTTTGTATTGAACCATGATAAACGATCAAAAACCAAACTTGGACACAAAATTGAAAAAAAAAAAAAATATTTGATGTAGGATCAATTGTAGACGAATCACAAACTTGGAAGAGCTCTGTTGATGCCATAAAATCATAAACAATAATTTCAAAATTGAAGACCTCCGGGTACATGTACCCAAAGAAACGTGAGTGGGCATATTATATCTAATTTAGAAGAAAAATAGATTCTGATACGATGTGAAAATATTTTTAAAAGATTGAAAATTGTATTATGTGATCATCAAAATAAAGGGTTATATATAGACAATATAAAACAAATTCGATAAAATCAAATCTAAATTTAAATCTACTAAATCTAAAAATAAATATCTAAAATATGAAAAAATTTAATGCAATTCATATAAATTTCCGTGTTTGATTGTGTTGAAAAAAAAAATGCACAAAACATAGTATAATAAAAATTTATCAAAAAACACTAATCTAATAAACAATAAAAAGTAGGGTAAACTGTTTTTTTTAGTCCCGTAACTGGACCCCTTATCATTTTAGTCTCGTAAGTAGAGCCTGTCGCAAATTAGTCCCATAAGTGAAAAATTTTCGTTGTTTTAGTCCTCCGACGCCGGAGATGCCCGCGTGGCTCGCTGGAGGTGACGTGTCCGCCAGGTGACATGTGGATTTTTTTTATTTATTTTTTATTTTTTTAATTTTCTTTTAAAACTTATTTTTAATTTATTTTAAATTTTATTTGTTTTTTTTATTTTTTTTATTTGATCCAATTAAAAAAATTAATAAAAATTTAAAAAAATAAATAAATCCACGTGTCCGCCAGGTGTCGCTGACCTAGCGGGACACCTGGCGGACACATCACCTCCGGCGAGCCACGCGGGCGTCTCCGGCGCCGAAGGACTAAAACAGCGAAAATTTTTCACTTATGGGACTAGTTTGCGACAGGCTCCACTTACGAGACTAAAATGATAAAATGGTCCAATTACGGGTCTAAAATGATAAAATGGTCCAGTTACGGGACAAAAAAATCAATTTACCGTAAAAAGTATAGTAAAAAAAATCATAAGTATATTGCATTGTAGGGGTTATTGTGTAGGTATGGTGTGTCTGATTTGTATTTTGGATAGAAGGAATTTATTTATTTATTTATTTTTTATGTTAAATACATAGAATTATTGTATTGATAACATAAAAATAATGAATATGTAATATATTAAATTATTTTAATAAAATATATTGAATGTTTTTTTTGCAAAAGAAACAAACCATTAGGATTTGGACAATTTTTATCTATTAATTACTGTTATTGTTATTATTATTATTAGAAATAAAATTAAAAAATTTAATTTTAAAAATATTTATTATTTTATTAATATTATTATTATTATTACTATTACTACTACTCGCATTATTATTATTCTTATTATTAGTATTATTTTTTCAAAAGCATTTTCAAAATACTTCTTAAAAAAACTATTTTAAGCTAAAAAGATGTATATGTCCAAAAGTAAATCCAAATCGTTATAAAACAAAAAGATAAAGTGAAAAGCAAAATATATACATACATATATATATATACTCTTTATGTCTCACTGAAAAAGTGACATGTATATTTTATACGTAGAATTTTTATTAATATTATATTGAATTATAATAAAAAATACAAAAATACTTGTATTAATATTATATGATATAAAAGTAACGGTATTTGTGTAATATATTGTAAGTTGAAAAGGTACTTATATGTTAGGTAGATAGTAGGATTATTAAATTAATAAATAATAACCTTGTTTTAGCACTGACAAAAATAAAAAAAATAACTATATTTCAATGAGACGTAGAAAGTATATTATATATTTATGTATATTTATATAATTTTGAAAATCTTAGGGTGCGTTTCTTTTGATTAATTTGGAAAAAAATTAGTTTGAATTTGGTATGAAAATAATATTTAATGGGATGTTTTGTGAGAAAAAAAAAATTATTCGAAAAATGCAGAGTTCAAATAATAAAATTTAGGGAAAATGGAGGAAAGAAACCTTCCCATAGCAAACATGATCTTATTATTTGATTGCTATCAGATCTACTGCACCAAAAGAAACTCTACTCTCACTGCACATATTTCCTTATTCCAACCGGATGATATTTAGCCATCTGCAATTCAGTCCAATTAATGGCGCGGCATACAAAGATTTGGTGTCGATTCGCCAAAATTTGGCATTGTTACAGTGGATCGTCAATTTTTTTTGTTGCTATTTTTTTTTTCTTTGTTTGTGTATATTGATTCTTCTATTTATTTTTTTTAATTTTTTTAAAGATAATGTTAATTGTAAATATAAAAAGTAGTTTATAATAATATATAAAATAGTTTATAGAATTTTTTTTTATTGAAATTTCAAATTTTACACTTTAGATTTTAAAGAAAACATGAAAATAATAAAAATGATTGGAAATTTAAAATGAAATTTAGATATTTCTTTTTAGTATTATTTTAGACATGACGAAATAAAAATAATTTTTATATAATATACAAAAAAATAAATAAATTATTATTTAATTAAAGAAGCGGACTTATATAAATTATAGTAGAAATTATAGTTCGTTTAATTGTAGTTTGAAATTGATTTAAATGATAATGTTAATTTTATATTTGACTTAAATAATACTTTGATATAATATTTAATCAAAATAAATATATATTTTTTTTTATTGAAAATCGTAAGAATGGAATGTTGGACTAATTAATTTGTTTGCAGATTCGAGATGTCACGAAGTTCAAAACAACAAATCTGATAATGAAATCGAATATTAGATTTCAACAAAATTCGATTCTCGCGTAGTACGCGATTTTCTTGAAGCGAATTCGGTCTGCCACCGATCGCCTCTTAAAATAAAACGAATTAACACGAAATAGCATATTCCGCAAACCGAAATTAATAGGAAACATAAAGATTATGGAAGAAAAAAAATTTTCAGAGAAGGGCATTTTTTGTAGCAGAGCTTGATTTTTGAAAAAAAAAAATATATATATTTGATTAGATATTTTTAAAATTAAAATTATTGGGTGTTTGTAAAGTGCCATTGGATTTGTATCCCATTATATTCCTATCCAATTAATTATACAATGGGACTATATCACTTATTAACTTATTAAGTCGGAGAGGTTTGTCTCCTCCTCCAATCTGGGACAATTATTTCTTTATTTTCTACCAACGCCAACGTGGAATAGTGCATATTTGTATTTCAAATCATCAACAAACAAAAATAAATACCCCCTTCGTCCCATAACAAAGTATCTATTTTTTTATTTTAGTCTGTTCCATAATAAAATATCTATTTTTTTTTTAGTAACTGTACTATCTGCCTAACATTACAAATACCCTTACAACTTACAATATATTATACAAATGTCATTACCTTTATATCACACATACTAATAAGATTATTTTAGTCATTTATACTTTATTCCTATTATATCGTGCAAAAAGTAAATGGATACTTACTTCTGGGACGGAGGGAGTACTACTTTCGTCCCATTAGAAGAGTACTATGAGTATTTTTCATGTTGATATTTGAATATTAATTATTATATCAATATGTAGTCCAAATCAAAATAAAATGACAAAAATACATCTATTAGTCTCTTATAATACAAATACAATGATATTTGTGGAGTAAAGAAGTATTACCACATAATTCATACATTTTTTTATTAGTTCAAATCACTTACTTGTGAACTACACATTTGTCAATAAAGTAATCCGAATTCATTCAAATCACGAGAATGGATGTACAAGTCCTTCTAAAAAAAAATAAATGTAAAAGGAATCTGTAGAAAAAAAAAAAATAATAAAAATCAGAAAATCTCATTATAAAAATTTCAGGTAAATTTGAAAAAATTTTGGAGGTAAAAATTTTGCAAAAAGATATTATATGTGAAATTAATTTTGGGTCATATTTAATGCAACATTGTACGAGGAGTTGCATGCCAAGCAAATCCTGTGGCTCAGAACATTACATTTCCAACTGCCTATATAAATGTAAGATTTGATTAATATATGCATATCATATCATCTCTACCTGCATCTTAGTGTGATTAGAAATATAATGAAGCCACAGTCTATCTTTGGAAATATATTTTCCATTTTAGTCTTGATAAAAATCTTGTCTACTTTCTTTGCACTCCAAGTTTCATGTCAAGTCCTAACATGTCCTATAGACTCTATATATCAGCTTGGAGATTCCATTTCCGACACCGGGAATCTTGTCCGAATAGCCACGACTGCCCCAGCTACACGCCCGCCGTATGGTGAAACTTTTCCCGGCCGCCCCACCGGTCGTTGGAGTGATGGTCGACTTATAATTGACTACATAGGTTTGTTCTATAGTTTCATGTTATAACTTAATTTGTGTGAATGTAATTGGACGATGCTCGATTTTCATAGACCGTGTTATTGTTCTACAAATATGTTATTTATGGTGAAATAATGTTGTTTGATTGTTTGTAGGTCGGGTTCTTGATCTTTCGATGGAATAATTATATGAGATGCTATTTTCTCTCTGTATGTTCAATCTACTACGGATCTGGATCTGAAGTTTTGTTTGAGTTTTTATTATTTACCATCGGAATTTTTTATAAGAAAAAAAATACTTCTTCCGTTGGAAAATTTTATATGGTATTATGTAGGGTAGGGACACTAATAAATAATTGTATTTTAATGTTAAAGTAGGATAAATCAAAAGTAAAATGAAGATATTATGAAAAATTATTAGAGTTGATAAGAAATAATAGTTGGGTAACAAGAAAAGATGTCGATAAATTATTATTATTTGTTGTAACATGAGTAAAAAAATTATGGGCATAAAGTGTTTTATAGTAATTATATTATTTATAAATTTAGGGGGCAACAAAAAAAATTGATATAATTTTTTACAGATAAGTAATATTATTTGTTTTCACAAAACATCACATTTAGCTGCTATTCAAATTAAAAACACACAAAAAAAAAAGAAAAAAAAAAACAAAACTCCGAAAGAACACATTTATCTCTTCTCAAATATCAGTCATTATTTTTATCGTGAACACTTTATTTTGTAATTTCATATAGTAAATTAGACAATTACATTATCCTTCTCTACGGTTTACAATAATAATAATAATCAGGGGCGGACCGAGGTGGGGGTAAGGGTGGGCTACAGCCCCTCCTCCCCACCCCGACCCCCTGTTTCTATAGTTTACTTATTTATATTTATGTATTTTTTTTATTATTTAAATATGTGTAATATAGAAAAAATGAATAAATAAAAAAATACTAAAAAATTGTATAATTTGTCTCAATAAAACAAATACAAAAAATTATTTATAATATATAACTAGTATTATTGTTGTAGTTAGTTATTTATATTTATTTTTTTCAAAATATAATAATCAGAATAATAATTTTTTCGAACAACAAATAAATATTTATAAATAGAATATATTATTTCATAAATTTCAAAATTAGCACTCCTTAAAAAATAATCCTAGTTCCGGCACTGATAATAATAATAATAATAATATACAATAATAATAATAATAATAATAATAATATAAAATAATTTTTTTTCAGTATTATTTAAAAATTGTGTAAGACTTATATATTATTTGTTGAACGTTGTACAAAAAATCCTATGCCCTTAAAATATGACGGATGTTCAATCTCAATGGTAGTGATGCCATATGACCACATATTAGGTTTGTTTGTTTTTTATTTTAAACGTAAATATATATTATTCAAATATTATGATTTATAATTAAAATGCAATATTTTTTACAAAATATCATATTAAAATAATATTTAAATTAAATTTCAAATAAAACAATGTATACTCCCTTCGTTTCATTCAAAATATATCATTTGAAATTTTGTAGTATATTAATAAACAATACTACATCCGTCCCACGTACCGTGTCTGCTACACTGTAGACACGGTATCTTAGGAGATGTGTAATTAGTAGATAATTAAGAATGTATTAGTGAAAATAATTATATGATAATATAAATAATTATAAATTAAGATTAACATAACTAATTAGTTTAATTAAAATTAAAATTAAAAAGTTTAAAATGAGATTAAAGTGTAATCATTTTCTAAAAAAAAAAATGACATGGTACGTGGGACGGACAGAAACGGCAATGTAGACATGGTATATGGGACGGTGGGAGTAGTATTTTATTAATTAGTAAAATTGTGTAAGAGATTTTGACATATTTTGTCATTTGACTTTTATGTATAAAGTAATTGTAATTTAGATAAAAGTTAAAAATATTTTGATACCAGTGTATAATTAACTTTATTAAAATAAAAAAAAAATAGATACTTTAGGATAGAGAAAATATATTATTTTCAATAAAATATCTAATAAAATATTATTTAGATAAAAAATTTAAATTTTAAATCCTATCCAACTACAAAAAGAAAAACTCACACACAACTTTCTTATTTATGGCACCGGAGACTTTGTTGTGGAAGTAATGTGAAAATAGCACAAATGGAAAAACCGTGTGAGGATTGTAATTAATTTATGCACTTCCTTAATTAGTGTAATATGGTTAGATGTTCGATCATCTTCACTTCATTATTCACTGCAAAAAACTAATATATTTGTAACGGAATTCCGTCCCTAAAGTTCACGTAGCTAACGTAATTCCATTACTAATTCCGTCTCTAATGTCATTAGTAACGGAAAAAGTAGATTTAGAGACAAAAAAAACTTTTGTCACAAAATTGATTTTTTCTTGTAGTGTATTCCATCTTCAATTCATTAATTATTTATTTATTTTTCGACGCGTATCTAACTACGAATATCATATGATATCGATCGACAGCTACTGCTCTCGGCCTTCCATTGTTGAATCCTTATTTGGACAGAAGTAATGCTTCGTTTGAGAATGGTGTCAATTTTGCCGTAGCTGGAAGCACGACGCTAAGTTTTCTGTTTTATTCGCTAAGGGGAATTATTACCTTACCGCTCCCTACACTGCGTACTCAGCTACGACAATTCCGGAGCCATATTGCAACCATATGCTCAACTCCATCAGGTTTTACGACAAATTACTACATAAATGTTAAGTTCATGTTTGATTCACTTAGCAATAATTATCCGTTTTATTATAGTTCATTTTTTACGATTTTTTTTTTTTTAAAAATAAAAATATCTTATTTAATTTACAAAACAACACATCCAAATTAGCTACCATTGGTTTAACCGATGTGTCTAGGTCTTGTTTGCTACGGATGTTCGTCTAGTATGATTTATCTTACCAGCTTAATTTCCAAGCTATTAGATTTAACCGAAAATTCACCTAGAGTGCACTAAGCAAAATACTAGTTATAGTTCTAACAACTTAAAAAAAAAAATAGAAAATGATATCCAAAAACAATTACACCAACTAAACTCACTTTAAACATGTGTATGGTTTGCAATGATTTCCGAAATTTCTACTATTATTATTATGTTTTAATTCCTTATATATATATTTCATAAAACATTATATCCACATTAAAATTAATAATAATAAAAAATAAAAGATACCTAAAAAAACACACATATTTTTGCTACGGTGTGCTACTTTTTTTGTTTAAATTTTGTACATGACCGCCTCCCTTCTAATTTGATTATTTAAAATGTAATCCTTCGGTGTTGAAATCAGTGTTGTATTTCATATATTTTAAGGAAAAATAATTCTTAAATAGTAAATATATAAATGTATATGTATATATATATATATATATATATGAGAGATTATCGTGCTGAATTGAAAAAATTAGCAGCACCGTGTTTTCTCCAAACAACACATATATAATGTACATATGATACATATTTTTATTTCACACAGTATATGCGGTGTGAAATAAAGACATATACTATCCGTTTATACTTATAAAATATGTTGTACAAGAATATATCATGTAATAAAATCAATTGTTGCATATGATATTTGAGAGGGTGTTTGGTAATTAGCTTTTTGAACAATTTTTAGTTTATTGAACAACTTTTAATTGTTTAATCAGTCGAAAAACTATTTTAAATGTTTAGTAAATTAGTTTTTTTAAATAACTAATTGGTTACAAAAAGCTGATTTTCAAAAAGTTGTACTTCCTCGGTTCCACTTATCATGTCCATTTTTTCATTTTCATCCGTTCCACTTATTTTGTCACTTTCCTTTTTTTTTTAAAAGAATTATACACTTTAATCTTATTTTAAAATTTTTACTTTTTAGATTTTATTTGAAATTTTAATTAGACTAATTAGTTATCTTAATCTTAATTTATAATTAATTTTATTATACAATAATATTTCCACTAATATATTCTTAATAATTTACTAATCATATTCCTCCTAAATTCTCGTGTATACAGTAAAAAAAAAAAAAAAAATCATAATAGCCGAGATAGAGGAAGTATACCCCAGTGTCTTAGAACATTGTTTTGATATTAATTTTATTTATTCTTAATTCATCCTTAATCATGGATCTTTCATTTACATATATATTAATATATAAGGGTGTGTTTGTTTGGGGGATTGGATTTTAAATCCACTATTCAATCCATTTTTTTCCCTCCAAAAACATCAAATCAAACACCTATTTTTTATTTTTTATATTATACTAAAAATCAATTTTACATTCAAAATATCACATCAACACCTATTTACATCACATCATACAACTATTCAAATTCAAAATTTTTACTATTCAAATCCCAACTCAAAATCCAAACACCCAAACAAACACACCCTTAGTTTATTTATTTTAATATATTTACTTCTACTAAATTATAAATTTATTTTATAAATTTAAAATAGTTAAAATAATTATTTTGTATATAAATTATTTTATTTGTAAAAATATTTAAATTTGATAAAATAAGTATAAAATAAAAATATTAATATTATTAATTTATTTATATATTTAACCACATAAATGTTTTTATTAAAAATGAAAATATTAAAAAATATTTATTTCAAAATTTAAGTTTAATAAAAAATAAAATTAATTAAAATTAATATAATAAAAAGTACATATACTAAGAATTTATTCTTTTATATTTTACATTATTTCAATAAAAATATATTAATGTTAATACAAAATATCTAAAAAATTACAAAAGCATAATTTTTAATAACTACTAATAAAAAATCTAAAAAAATACTAAAAAAATACTGCACACGTACAGTAAGAACACAACAAAATACTTTAAAAATAGAATATTTTCATTTTAGATATAAGCAACTAATATCAATTATTCATTTGTTTCGCAAGAAGGTTATCATTGACATTTTACGTGTTGATATTTGAATATTAATTATTATATCAATATGTAGTACAAATAATGAGAAAAAAAAATTTATTAGTCTTTTATAATACAAATACAATGATATTTGTCGATTAAATTGTTCAAATATAAGAATATTTTTAATATTAAGTACAATGACGCAAAAATCAAATGACAACCTTCGTACGAGATGGAAATAATAGTTATTTTACCAAATATTTTCGAACAAATAGTTAATATATTTAGATAGTCAAACGAGCTAATAGAATATGCTAATAACTAACCGTTAATCAAATCAGCTAACAACTTATTGCTAAATACTTTCTTAGTTTATTTAATAGCGTTTAGATGTTTGATCAAGTAAAACGCTAACTATAATATTTGATAAATAAACTTTTTGCAATAATCTATTGGACCTAAAAAATAATTTTTACAAAGCTATACCCTATGAGAGCATTTTTACTTTAATTTTATTTATCAATATCTGTCCTTAAAAAAATAATTATTTTCGTGACACACATATTGATATTTTTTTATTTATTATTTTAATATATTTGCATTTTTGATAAATTATGATTTTATTTTTTAAATTTTTAGGGCTCGCCTATATATATATATTTATAAAAATGTATTATTCTTTATAACAATATATTACAGTATGTTCACTTAGCTTTTTTTAAATGAATTGATTTTTTTTTTGTGTGATATGAAAAATTGGATTGAAAATATAAAATATAATATTTTGTGTTAAATAATCCTTTTTTGAATGGATAATATATATATTATAGTAATGTGTTTGAACATTTGTATTTTTTAATAATATTTACGAGAAATTATTCTAATAAAAAATGCTATATGAACGAACTGATTATATCAAAATTTTATTTAAATCAAAATTGAAGTAAAAAATGCAAACACAACACAAATCAAACAAACCCTAATTTAATTACATATCTACTAATATTTCAAATTTTGTAGTAAAATTAATAGGAATCTGTAAATACACAAGAGCGCCCGATGCTATTAAAATTCTATAAATTTTAATTGTAAAACTCGTGATCACTATAAAATAATATCAATTTTGTAACGAGGTTTTTTCGTTTTTAAATCCACTTTTTTATTACTAATAATATTAGAGACGAAATTATGGATGAAATTACGTTAGCTATGTAAACTTTAAGGACGGAACTTCGTTATAAATATACTTTTTTTTTTTTTTTTTGTAGTGGATATCTCAATAGAGATACGGTATGGGAAAATAAAGGGGATTAATTCTTGAAGTCATAGTAAAATTTTAAGTGGGATATGTGCAAATCGAATAGAGTTCTTGTAGTATAATTTTTATTTTTATTATTATTATTTTTCATTTGTTGCCAGAATGTCAACAAAAGCTTAACAACAGCCTCGTATTCGTTGGAGAATTCGGTTACAATGACATTGCATATGCATATGCCGAGAGGAGATCCCTCTCTTTGATCCAAAGCTACTTGCCGGAGGTTAATCGAGTCATCATTAATAGCACAAGAGTAAATTTCCCGGCCCTTGTTGAATTGTGCAATTACTTAAAAATATTGAAAAATCATGAAAAAATATCGAATAACCACGCTATAGTTTTTAACATACTAATAGTTACTAAAAATTTGGCGATCCTAATTTCTAAGTGATTTAATTTAAACTTTACCATATAATCTATGATTTAATAAAAATAAGTGGTATACTTTTGATTCTTTTTTTTTAGGATGTGATTCTTGCAGGTGTGCCTCAAGTTGTAGTTCCCTTACTTTTCCCGCTCGGATGCTTCCCGGTATTTCTAGATGTTGCTAGAAATAATTCGTCGACAACTTATGATAGTAATGGATGCGTGAAAGACTTGAACGATGCAATTGTTTCGAGAAATAATGATCTTGTAAGAGATATAAACAATCTTAGAGGGGAATTCCCTAATGCCACCATACTTTATTCTGACCTCTATAATGCTTTTCTAACAATTCTTCGCGATGCACCTGCTCTCGGTACGTACAAGTTACATTTAACATAAAAAAAAAGAAAATCGAATGTTTTGAGTTTTGCTTATTGCTAATTGATCTTTATCGGAATTTTTAGGGTTTAATACATCGACACTGTTGAAGGCCTGTTGTGGATCCGAAGGAAATTTCAATCCAATAGGTCCTGTGTATTGTGGAAATGGAAACGTACCGGTGTGCCCTAATCCAAACACCTATATAAATTGGGATGGCATACACCTAACACAAGAGGCACATCGTAATATTGCCAACATTATCATCCGGGACTTGGGCATCAATTGCACTAACTAAATCGATTATGCAAAAAGAACACCGTCGAATGTTATTAATGATGTAAGAGAGCTATGCTTACCTATATATACTCAAATAAATGGATCAGTCTGATCGTATCTAGAAGTAATGGATTATGATATTTGATATGTAGACGTGGTAGACTCGATAAATATATGAAATAAGAATATATAGTTCCGTTTAATACAAACCTTGTTCATCACATGTTCCAACATCCAACAAGAAATTTTATTAAGTTCAGTAGAAAATGAATGTTGAAATGTAAAGTAAAATGTGCCAAGATCATCTCATGAAGTTAACAAACCTATACACTACCAGAATTTGTTACGAAATTCTCGAAAAAATTGCATCGGAATTTGAAAGGGCTGCGAGACAAATTATTTTTGGCTTCGGATTTTGTCTCGAAATCTTACCCGCAGAGAAAAATCCGTTGCCATTTGCGTGACTTCAGAAATTCTGAGGTTATTTTCAGAAGCTTCGGAATTATTTTAGCTAAGTTAGCTACGTGAACTTTAGGGACGGAATTCCGTTACAAATATATTACTTTTTTGTAGTGTCAATTCGAAAATATAATAATATATTGGTTCGAAAGTTTCAAAATATTTTACAAATTTCTTTTTCTCACCCATTTTTTAAAATTTATTAAAATCTCTCTATATATAATTGAAATTTTAATATAAAAAATAATTACAAATTTTCATAATATAATAATCAATCAAATAATTACAAAATTTTATAAATTGTGCCGCAAGAGTAATTCCTTCCAATAAAGAAGATCCAAAAAAAAAATACTATTTTTCATCCATTTGTGTATCTATCCATATCTGTGTATTGGTTCTCCAAACGGATCATCCATAACTCGTGATATCATGCAGAGCCATTCCCATACCACATCATTAGACAAATGACCTTGTCCCATATCAATCTCAAATAAATCCTCTACAATCATTCCTAAAAGGATGATTTGAGGGAAGATATCGCCGATGACAATCAAAGTAGCAAACTTTTCTTCCTTACTGTAGTATGTACGCTAGATTGTTATCCATACATACAGGACATCTTAACATCCTAGCGTGCTCCATCCAGACACCATACCAAATGAAGGAAAATCACCAATAGTACATAGTAGAGCAACGTACATCCGAAAATTGTGTACTGTGTATGCATCATATATTACGTACCCTTCTTCTAAGAGATTGACCAACTCTTCAACAAGAGGTTGAAGATAAACATCGAGGAGCTTGTTTGGGTTTTTGGGTCCATGAATGAGCACCGATAGAAACATACATTTTTTCTACATACAAGTACCTGGTGGCAAATTGTAAGGAGTTAAAATAACGGGCCAATACGAGTAATTAAGTACCAAATGAGGCAAAACCATCGGTACATAACCCGAAATGCACATTCCTAGGATCTCGAATAAACTCCGGATGAGTACGATGAGAATGTTTTCATGCTTAACCGTGGCAAGGTTGACTCATTTGCCCATCTTCGTTAGAATGGGTAGCATGCCACCTCATCGCTTGTGTGGTTTCTTTCAACTCGTATAATTGTTTATTTGGTGGCTTTAATGAGAGGTAGATCATTTGTGACGTTGGGACTTTCTTACGCCAAGATCTTGTTCTCCATCTAGATACTCCACAATAGTCGCACTGTGTGCTATAATAGTCTTTTGGCATGTTATTACAAACACGCAGTGCTCACATAAACATCTTGCAAAGATCATCATATGTAGCATTTGGTATGTTATTTTGTGCCTTAATGTTCAACATCTACACAATCGAAAGCTGTGTTTCACCAACACATCCTTCGTACAGGGGTTTATCGGCTGTTCATAGTGTGCCACTTAATGTAGGAGATATCACCTCCTGATCTAAATGTTCAGAAAAAGAAGAATCTATGATTCCTTCAAATTCACAATGATCGAACTCATCATTGTTGTCGTCCGCCATAACTGGTGTGGCTGTAGATGCCCAATCGGTTTGCCTTTCATTTTGATTATAGCTGGATCCGACTTCCACCTCATAGATACTCAAATATGTCAACACTTTATTATGAAATAACTATGTTCGATAATTTGCAATGAACCTTCTTCTGAGTACGTGTACCGTGACTTCCTCGGGACTTCTATATTTATTGTTTTTGCACTTCAAACATGGGCATATTTCTCCTTCGACAATCCAATCATGCTGTGCTTGTGCCCATGTTACAAATTCTGCGACACTTACTTCAAATTGTGGGACAATCTATTTTTGCCCTCAAGTTTTCTGAATACATCCATGCTCTTTGAAAATTGAGATTCATTTGTACTGTGAATATTAATAGTAAAAAAATGATTGGACATAAGGTAGTACTATTAAGAAAAAGTGAATGATTATCAAAATAAAATTGAAACTTGATAATTATTATTAGAACAAATTTAGTACAAAATTTCAAATTGAAGGCATCAACACTAAATGCTTATTTTTTAATAAACGTGCTTCTTTTACTAATCTATCAAAAAACAAAAAGACAATGAACTTGGCTAAAAAATTATATTCATCAAAGCTATTGATCTTAATGCAAGAAGGCTTAAAAGAGACCGAAGACAATTGATCCATGTATTGTGATGTTTCTTGAAAGCATAGAGCGTGTTATCAGCACATGGATCTAACTGATCACTAGTATTCAATAGACATAAAAATTCTATTGTATAAGTTCTTTACTGTATCAACTGTGGTTCGTCATCGCGGAGTTGTCGCGGATCGGCCTTTACCGTTCCAGATACGTTGCGGCGTATTGGCACGGAGTATTGGTCAAATATCGGCCAATATAAATTTTTATATATAACTTTTTATTTTAAAAAATGATAATAAATTATTAATATATATTAAATCATAAATATAATTAATTTTTAAAAATATGTAGTATGATATTAAAAAATATATTATAATTTAAAATCTTGTCTGAAAAAATATTTTAAATAATAAAAGTTAAATACATTTCAAAGCAGTTGAATCTATATATTAAATAAACAAATTAATTAAAATAACCTAATACTAAATCCAACCAAATATTATGTAAATAAATTATTTGAACTTAAAATAATTATTTGAGTATTTTTTCAAATCAATTATTCCTGCAGGCATTCTTCTTTCCTAACCCTGCACCAATCTTTTTCCCCAACCCTCTTCTTCTTTCCGACCCACACATGCAGGCACTACTCAAATTCCAGATATACATGAAATTGAAGGAGAAATAGCGAAAAACAAACCTCAGAATGGTAGAAATAAAAATTCCAGCGATTTCAGAAGATCTTAGAAAAAATCGGATATTTTCTTCTTACCGGAACGTTCCTGCCCGTTCTAGTTCCGCATCGGCCGATCCAGCAAACCATGGTATCAACCTTCATACAAATATGAGCATTTCTCGACACGAAATGAATTGGGGAAAATGTATCAACTCACTAGCAGTTACTGATGGAATAGGGGTTACAAAGAAGGCAAATAAACCAAGTTGATATCACACCACCCCCAGAAAAAAAAAAAAAAAATGAAAATGATCATAATACACACCAGATAGCATGTTACTACTGAGACAAAAATTAAACTCAGAGAGAGAGGCAAATGAAAATCAAGGAATACATTGTTATCAGTTCCTTCAATTTGCAGGCATAATCATCGTTATAAATCAGTATAAAATTCAGTAGAAATGAGCAGCCAGAAACAGTTTGCTTGAATATCATATCAGATCAGCATTAAGTTTGAAAAATAGGTATTTGATTTTGATATTTTTGGACGGAAAAAATTGGATGAATAGTGTAAATCCAATCCAATCCTCCAAACAAACACTTTTGGGGGATTGGATTGGATTTACACAATTCATCCAATTTTTTCCTCCCAAAAATATCAAATCAAACACTTATTTTTCATTTTTTATATTATACTAAAAATTAATTTTACATTCAAAACATCACATCTAACACCTATTTATATCACATCATACAACTATTCAAATTCAAAATTTTTACTATTCAAATCCCAACTGAAAATCCAAACCACCAAAAAAATCATTAAGATGCTTGTGGACATGCAAAGTCCAGAGTTAAATTCCCTATTGTGTATCATCACTGCTTGGACAATGATCTCCAAAGAAATTCTCCTAACGGCGCCTCTATTTTTATTTTAAATAATTTATAATGCACGGATTTTAAATTAATTTTATAATAGAGGTGCAACGGTTGGCCGGCCTGTAACACACTTGCTGGTTACGGAATAGCAGATTAGCACTATTTAATTTATAGTAGATGTGCAAAAAACATGTGCCACTATTTTTATTTAAAATAATTTATAGTTTGAAAGTAATTTAATTGTATACGACTGTTCGCACCTTTACTTTTTATTTTTAAAATAATTTATAGTAGAGGTGCGAACGACAGCGCCACTATGCCTCTATTTTTATTATAAATAATTTATAATTCACATACTGTAGAGACGCTATTGTTCGCGTCTTTTTTTATTTTTAAAAAATAATTTATAAGAGAAGCGCAGATAACGCGAACTACGAAAAAACAAATATATTTGTAATAGAATTTTTTCTTAAAATTCACGTGGCTAACGTAATTTTAATTCTAATTTCGTTTCTACTGTCATTACTAAAAGAAAAAGTGAATTTAAGAACGAAAAAATCTCATTATAAAATTATTATTTTCTTGTAGTGACGCCTCTCTATTCTTTTTATTTAAAATATTAATTTATAGTTCATGCCTTTTATCTTAAAATTACTTTTATAGTTGAGGCGCCGTTATTTTCGCTTCTTTTTTATTTTTTTTTAAAACTTATAACAAATTCGAAGGTGCGGTATTTTGCGCCAAATTCTTTTTTATTGTTATTTTGATGTGGATTTCGGTTACTCTATGCTCCCGTGCCATGCTGCACCTCTTTGTCCCTGCCATTTATGTCTTTTTGGAGTAGTGTACATAAATCAACAAACTATAGCTTTCTCACTAAATTAAAAAGAAATTTAGACAATCATGTGAATATTATAAAGTAATTGTGAAAACCATAAAAATAATTTTAGCATTTTAAGTAGAAAATATTTTTACTCAAATATATCATTTTATTTAGAAATTTTAAAATATAAAATTATA